GCCAGGTCTAGCTTATAATAATAAAAATTTTGCTCCTCTGCACTGTCTGAGCTGTTGATTTTTTTTGCCCTACAGTCTATGTTATGATGAGAAAAAATAAGATTGTGAAATATAACACTACTGTTTTTAAGGAAATACTATACTCAAATAAGTTATAACCAAGCAGCGCAACACGAAAATAAAGCCCTTCTCTTACTCTCTTTGTCCCCACTTCATTCAACCCTAACACCTAAAGATAACATTTTAATCTCGTTTCTTTTTTATTTTGATTAGCATTCTTCTTCTGCCTAGTGTTCTTTGATTTACATTTTTTTATTTTTACTCCAATTTGAATGATGAAGACATCCCAATATTGATCCTATTTATTTAAAGGCTCAACCTACCCATCCTTAGTCATTTATTTGTTCCTCATCAACCTGCTCTAAATTTGCACCTTTCCCTGTGCAAAGCAACAAACCTGAAACCAAAGATTTACCCAGAAAGATGTAGAAACAAAAAATTAAGACACTAGCTGAAAGCACAGAACACATAGAAGTGACATAACCTATGCAGTATATCAGTGAAGGTTCTGCTCAAAGAAGTTGTGTCCTATGGATATGCTGGGATCAATTGTGATGACCCAATTAACAAATATGCGATAAAGGAGGCCAAAGGAAATAAAAGCAAAATACCTCACATGACAAAAAAATTGATGTCACAAAGCAATTTGAAAGTAAATACCATTGTAAACTACCAACTTGAAGGGAAGAGAAAGCAAGATACCTCATATGAAAAATCTACATGACCTGGAATATTAATAAGATTCAAGAAGTATGAATCACCACCATACATGAAACACATTTGAGAAGCCTGGAAGAAGAATAAAAAATCATTAATCAGTTTATCTCAATTGTGGTAGATTGATTTCAGGTATATAGTTGGAAGTATCTTTTTTTATGGTTTGGATTCATTTTTGTCAGTAGATATTTATGCTTTCTTTGTTTTGACATTGTTTAATTTTGTTCTGACATTCAATCTCATGTTTTTTCCCTATGATAAACTTTATTTCATAATTCATAGAATTGATAAGAAAATTTTGATAGACTTCATTTCATAATTCATAGAGTTGATAAGAAATTCCAACTATAATGTCTGTGTAATTTATATACAAAAAAAGAGGAGTAAAAAATTTTAAAATTTCAATTACTGCAAATTTACCTAAGTGCGAGGAGGTTCAGGTGCGACGGGGTGGTGTCCAAGACTTCACCTCTGCGGAGAGCTGGTCGGTCATCAAAGCAGTATCCCAAATAAAACATACTACTCCCTCCTCGTCAATCAACAGCATGTTAGAAGCATCCCACAGCTGCAAGAGCCGGAACCTTGATCATACAGCAACTACCTGCCTTACACGTTAGATTTTGGACTGGAAGACAAATCCTCTTTTTTTTGCTAATTGAACCCCTGATGATGGGCGCCATGCCTAGACTCTGAATATCACTATTAATATAATAAACACTCCTACCAAATCCAACACTTTACAGAGACAAAGTGTAAATGAGGTTAAAGAAAATGAACAAAATTACTCTCATGTCCGAACTAATTGAGATCCAGATCCAATTTTCCTCTCCAGACTCGAATGGCAATTACCTGAAACATCAACAATTTTCATGAATAGGATTAATTAGAATATAATTCGAGTAAAAAAATACTCCGTAAATATATTTGGAGTAGCTGAAGAAAATCTTGGGCCTTTTTAGATTAGGAGATTCGATGTTATGACACCGAGCTGACCTTGATGTTCCACCGCCTCTTGAAGTTCCCTTCTTGCGAGTACTCCCTTCCATGCTGCTCCACAAAGACAGTCGAGAATTGGTTCCGGGTTGAAGAAAGCATATTGGTATTAATCAACCCACGCATTTATGACAAAAAGAATTTTCTGGTAAAAATTGGGGAAAAATTGGGGTAGCCGAATGCATGAATGGAAAGCTATAACGCAGTACCTGTAACAAATGAACAAAAAAGAGCCAAAATATGCTTCCTTACTGCCAATTCCATGGTAATACTGATTAGATGCTTACTCATTACCATTAGTCTTCTAATCCTATATGACATATATAGCACCAAAATAAAAGAGTCATACACCAAATCAAATCTCATATATAAAGATTCTTTCACTTCTTTTAAGAATCAAATAAGTCACTTAGTAAATTTGAATGACAAATTTGAAAAGCTATGTCAACAAAGAACATCAATTTTTAAGAGATGCATTTATTTGAATTATGGTTAATTGTAGTACACATATATGCTTAATAAATATGTGTGCTCACACATAAATCAAGCATGTGAGGTTTACACATGCATGTGTTCTCACATACCCTGATCAAACAATCAAGAAAGCATTTTTATATAATATTTAATATGAGCAGTAAACCTTGATTGCTCTGGTAAGAATTAAAGTACTATACCAAGAGAGAAAAATAGCAACGCAGAACATGAGTTGTAAGGAGATTCATTTCATTGAATTGTGCTTAATTATTAGAATACAAATATGAATACTTGTAAAGGGTTTCGGATTAGATTTTAGCAAAAATTGACCTTCTTACTATAAAATTGCTAATACGGCAAAAAAAAAGTAAACTGGAGTAAACTAAAACTTTAAGTGGTATTGAATTACCTATTCCGATCTCAAAATTTGAAATTCCGAGTTGTGCTATTTCTGCCTTCGATTGAAATCCCTTTAAGAAGGAAGGAGACTTGGCAAATGTGCTTTCGAAAAGAGATTCAATCCCAAACAGACATTTGTAGAAGATTAGGCCTGAATTTGAAACAAAAAATGAGTACTAAAATTTTCACAAAGTCTTTGTAATTTCTAATTTCTACTTAAACAAACAATCAAAAAACAAATCAAATCAATTGATCAAAGGATCACTGAAATAATTGGCACAAATATACCGATGACTGCTTTCTTGGTTTGGCTGGCTATTGATGCAGATTGTGGAATAACAACTTTTTGCCTAAAATGGATGAAGGACAAAGTAAATAACATTTCATAAGAACAATAAAAAAACTAACACTAAAATCAAGTGCTAGTGAAAAGGAAATAGAGATCAAGAATTGACAGGAAAGATATACTATTTTTAAAACTGCAAAATAATGACAAAATCAACCTCGGTATCGATCGATAAACAATGGAAAAGGAAATCCGATTTAGGAAATTCGGAGTCAAAATTAAAAAATGTAGAAAATATTGCTCATTAACAGAATTTGAAGAATAACACGGACCTGTAAATGGCTCACAACATGCTGTCTTGTCAAGCATAGCTCCTTCTTGAATTGGATGATTGTCTACAGAGCATCTTCCGAAAATCAAAGAGGACCATTTAGTAATCACATGTCATAATAAGAAAAATTTACTTATTAGTCCATAACATAGTTATTTAAGGCGCGATGCACACCGATGCACAAAGGGGCTCTTGTGCCTCGATGTGCGATGCGCTATTGATGCGCGCGCATGACGAACACAATGCGCGCGTTGAGGCATAAGTAACATAGCATCTAAAAATAGTAATATTAGATATATAATGTTGAAAAGCATAAGAAAATTTTAAAAAGAAACCAATAATCAGATTATAGACTTCATGGGTTTTATAACAAATAAGGAAAATGGTCACTCCCATCTATTTTTGTGAACCTCCGAATATACTTCCATTTGGGATCATTAGAATTTGGTCCTTCAAGTTCTTCAAACCCAAAATCTAGAGATTCTTCCATACATGAAACTTGGAAGAGCACACAAAAATATAAATACAAGAAGGAAAAGAGGGATTCAGATCTAAATTGTGACTCCAATAGTCCAAGTCAGTAAGGGATAAGGAGTAGTAGGGCTTTTTTTAAAAAAACTAAATGAAGAGAGCTGTGTATGAATACGAAAAAATAAAACTAAAGTGACAGGTAAAAAAGGCGGAAGGCCAGAAGCCTCACGATTATAAAAATGAAAAAAAAATAAAAGAACCTAAAACGTGAAGCAAGCAAATAGAGAATCTGAAGAGAGCAAAAGGAAAACCGATGCACGGCGGAAGCAAAGTTGATCTAGAGAGAAAAATCCCATGCGATGAAGTGGCAAAAAAAACAAATCCGTAGAAAAAAACATAGAGACGAAGCAGAGAAGCATAAATTTCAACTAAGTCAACCCTTAAAAAAATTTAAAATAAAAAATGTAATCCGTGTTCGCGATGCGCGCGTTTTATCGCATCCAGTCGCATCGCTTATTGCGCTAATGCGCAGGTATGCGCTCGCATAACGTACATCGCCCGCATCACCGTGAAGAATGCCCAATGCCCTGCGCCTTGCATGATGCGCGCCTCAAGTGCGCCTCAAGCGCGCTTTTCACAACTATGGTCCATAAAATTTGTGAAAAGATTCATGCTACGCATTACCACAAAAGCATGTCTCCAATATGTATTTAAATCCAACAACCATACTCTTTGTCTCGAATTAGGGCTTTCTGGGATAGATGTTCATATATACCTTCTTATTTAGTTTTCTTAATTAATGCAGTGTTTTAGTCTTGATTGGAATGTCATTGACTTCACCATAAATTAAATGATATTTCCGACAGTGAAAAAGATGGCAACTTAAGGCAGTGAATAAGATGGGCTTATAATAATAAAAATTTTGCTCCTCCCCCTGAGCTGTTGATTTTTTTGCCCTACAGTCTATGTTATGATGAGAAAAAATAAGATTGTGAAATATAACACTACTGTTTTTAAGGAAATACTATACTCAAATAAGTTATAACCAAGCAGCACAACACGAAAATCAAGCCCTTCTCTTACTCTCTTTGTCCCCACTTCATTCAACCCTAACACCCAAAGATAACATTTTCATCTCGTTTCTTTTTTATTTTGATTAGCATTCTTCTTCTGCCTAGTGTTCTTTGATTTACATTTTTTTATTTTTACCCCAATTTGAATGATGAAGACATCCCAATATTGATCCTATTTATTTAAAGGCTCAACCTACCCATCCTTAGTCATTTATTTGTTCCTCATCAACCTGCTCTAAATTTGCACCTTTCCCTGTGCAAAGCAACAAACCTGAAACCAAAGATTTACCCAGAAAGATGTAGAAACAAAAAATTAAGACACTAGCTGAAAGCACAGAACACATAGAAGTGACATAACCTATGCAGTATATCAGTGAAGGTTCTGCTCAAAGAAGTTGTGTCCTATGGATATGCTGGGATCAAATGGAGGGCCATCTACTGCCATGGTATCATGTTAACTAACAAAAAACATAGAGAAAACAAGTCAATATCAGAAGGAAAATAATCAGGAAGCAATAAAATGTTTAAACTCAAAATAGTTTTGTCACTTTTCTTCACCCATGAGATGTTGTGATATCATGCCAGTAATATGATTTTTTGTATTTAAAATATTTCCTGGTCTTCTAAAATTCAGCTCGACATATGATATTTCT